GCTTCAGCCTCCCAAAGTGCTGGGATTACAGGCTTGAGCTACCACACCTGGCCCTAGATTTCTCTAACATAGGCTGTGGAGGTGGAATTTTTATTTATTTTTTCTTTAAATTGATACTCTCCACTGAATGAAGGATTTTAGTTTTTAATTTTTTACTGCACCCCGGGGTTGGGGCAGATACCAAAGTGATCCCCCTTCCTGCATTGTGAGGTTTAATTAATGCAATTAACATTTACGAAGTGCTGTGAAACAGCTCTGCTGCTGGTGTCAGCCTGGAGGAAATGAGTGACATCAGTTCTCAGCATTTTTGCTGGGTTGGGGCGAGTCCCTGAGCCTCCTCTTGAGTCTAATTGGGGGTGCCACCTACCCCTCTGTCTGCCACATTGCATTTGAGTACATCTGACCTGGTTCAGTCAGGGCACAGGCACCCTGCTGCACTAATGAGGAAGGCCCCTGGGGGAGAACCTTGTGGGTGGGCCCACCCAGTGCTGCTGCCCACCCCGAATCACACGCTGGACCCCAGCCTCTGGGAAAGGGTCAGAGTTCACCTCTCATCACAAGGTTAGGCAGCCACCTCCTGTGAAGGGAAACTCTCAGCTGGTGTATCATGTCCCAGCCGCGAAGCTCCCTTCATCCCTGGAATGGGTGATGCATTGTTCCTAACTTCTGTAATTCTTGTCTGTCTCGGTTATGGCAGTTCCAGGCACGTGCCTTGGACTGCCTGGGCATGAGATTTGGCACTGCCACTTCTCTGTGTGACTTAACTCATCTGAGCCTGTTGAAGGCAGGGGGATAATAAGACCTGCCCCAGGATGGGGTGGGGGTTAAAAGAGGTGGCAGACAGGCTGGGTGCGGCAGCTTACACCTGTAATCCCAGGGTAAGGCGGGTAGATCACCTGAGGTCAGGAGTTTGAGACCAGCCTGGCCAACACGGCGAAACCCCGTCTCTACTGAAAATACAAAAATTAGCCAGGCATGGTGGTGCAAGCCTGTAATCCCAGCTACTCAGGAGGCTGAGGCGGGAGAATTGCTTGAACCGGGGAGGTGGAGGTTGCAGTGAACTGAGATCACCCCGCTGCACTCCAGCCCAGGTGACAGAGTGAGACTTGATCTTAAAAAAGAAAAAAAGTAAAAATCCATGGTGGTAGAGACAGTGTTCAGCCTACAGTAAGTAGGGCCCTGGGAACTGTTAGCTACTTGATGTTACAGTGGCAGAGTGGGATGGTGCAGTTCTAAATCCAGCATGTCCGCCACTCTGGATAGGTCATGTTAGAGAAAGCAGTTGGCTTGTGATGGGGGCCATGTTATCTGGAAATGCCAGCCTTGAATCATGAAGTCAGGGAGATACATAGAAAGAGGTAGGGGAGATTCGTATCCACCAGTACACACCTGATGCTAATTTAATTTCTCTTGTCCTGATTCTAAGAACATGTAGTTAAATTTGTATGTTATTTACCTTCCCTATATATTGATCAAGGAGGTAGTATGTCAGTCTTTGTCTCGGGTTTCTCCATCTGCAAAACAGGAATAACAGTACTCACCACATTTAAAGATTAAATGAGTTAAGATGGGTAAAGCCAAAACAGTGCCTGACAAATAGTAAGCACTGAAAAAAAGATGACCTTATTATTAGGGGGGATTCTTATGTATTTATGCATGTGGGAGGAAAGGCCTGGGAGAGAAGCTTTTATTCCTGATTTTGAGGTGTGGGTGTTGGTCTGAGAAAGGAAGCAGGAGGTGTAGGGAGTCGGGAGGGCTTCCAGGCTAAGAGAACACAGCAGCACATGCCTCAAGGCTAGATTGTCTTGGCCTGCGTGTAGACTAAAGCGGGGTGGGGGAGGAACTGAGCTGGGCATCTTTTTTTTTTTTTTTTTTTTGAGACGAAGTCTGTCGCCGGGGCTGGAGGGCTGGAGTGCAGTGGCCAGATCTCAGCTCACTGCAAGCTCTGCCTCCCGGGTTTACGCCATTCTCCTGCCTCAGCCTCCTGAGTAGCTGGGACTACAGGCGCCCGCCACCTCGCCTGGCTAGTTTTTTTGTATTTTTTAGTAGAGACGGGGTTTCACCTTGTTAGCCAGGATGGTCTCGATCTCCTGACCTCGTGATCCGCCTGTCTCGGCCTCCCAAAGTGCTGGGATTACAGGCTTGAGCCACCGTGTCCGGCTGAGCTGGGCATCTTTTAGTCACGGGTGCAGGTTCTGAAGTTGGTGTATGCTGTCTACACAGCTGTGGCTATAAGGCAATGAGGGTAGTTAATTTCACTACAAACATAGGGTCATGATAAAAACAGAAGGAATTTTAAATGAAATCACATTGAATTATGCAACGAGAAGAAAGTATATTTAAGTGCTCAGCTTGCTCCTGGGGGGCACCCAGGTAGCTGGTGCCATTTATTGTGGGTTTTCTTCCTGGACTCTCTCTTCAGTACCCACAGGTCTTGTTCTAGGGGCTTGAGACTTTTCCTGAATGTTGAGATACGGGTTTTAGAAGGCGTGCTGCCCACACGTTGGGTAGGCTGGTGACTAGTTGGCACTGCTGAGGCCCTGGGGGAAGTCCCAGGGTGGTTAATCATTGTCAACCTGGGTCTGTCTAGGAGGTGAGACTCCTGTCTGGCTTCTTGTTGACCCAGTTAGGGGCTGTCTGAGGACTGGGGTTCAGTGTTGCCTGCGAAACCCAGCACACATTAGAACCCTGGGTCCTGGATGAAGGCGAAGGAGGTCACATCCTTTAGTCCAGGCCTCTGGTTTGCCACCAGCTCCTGGCCACAAACAAACCCTGTGTGTCTTCCCCCCAGAGCACTTTGGGGTGGTGGACCCTCCTGGAGACACCAGGTACACCAGGGAGCCCCACCTCCTACTCTATGCCAGGCCCACTAGGTTACTTAGTTCGCTGGTTTGGCCTGAGGTGAAATGCTTGAAAGTAATGATTATTCTGAAAGGACACTCCAGCAGCTTCCCTGGGATTCTGGTCGCTTCATCTCGTAGGAACTGGCCATAGGTCAGCCAGCCTGTTCTTCCGGGTCAGGGCTTGGGAGAAAAAGGGCTGAGAAGCAGCTGATTGGTCTGACTCAGGCATATCCCCTGTCCTTGGGGGTTGGGGGAAATTCCTTGACATGTGCTGGCACACATCCTGGATCATGTGAGACATAGAAAGCCTATGTGCTGTGTTTCAGCACACATGTTTATAATCTGAACAATGCTGCTTTAACATGCATATTAATCACCCAGGCATGACTTGTGTGTGTTAAAATGTCTTGTGAAAATCCTGCTTCAGGCTGGGTGCAGTGGCTCATGCCCATAATCCCAGCACTTTAGGAGGCTGAGGTGGGCAGATCACGAGGACAAGAGATCGAGACCATCCTGGCCAACATGGTGAAACCCCGTCTCTACTAAAAATACAAAAATTAGCTGGGCGTGGTGGCGCATGCCTGTAGTCCCAGCTACTCAGGAGGCTGAGGCAGGAGAATCGCTTGAACGCTCAACAGAGGTTGTAGTGAGCCGAGATTGCACCACTGCACTCCAGCCTGGCGACAGAGGAAGACTTCTCAAAAAAAGAAAGAAAATCCTGCTTCAGGACATCTAGCTTAGTGCCTGAGATTTCTCCAGCCAGCTCCCAGTTCCAACAGTTATTCCGACCAGCTCTCAGGTGATGGTACTGTAGCCTGTGTGGCTCCTGGGCCACATGGGGAGTAGCAGCAGAGGTCCAGTTGCCCCATGCAATGGGCAGGTGCACCCACCACAAATTGCACCTCTGCCGCCACTGGGCACATCAGACTGGGCTCCACGGCGCCCCCTGGTGGGCAGTGCCAGTGGCGCCAGTGCAGCTCGGAGCCAGCAATACAAGGTGTGGCTTCTAGAAGGTACCCTGGTTTGAGATGCTGAGGTAGGAGGATCCCATGAGGCCAGGAGTTTGAGGCCAGCCTGGGCAACGTAGCCAGGCTCTGTTTCTACAGAAAATTAGCTGCACATGGTGGCACACACCTGTGGGCCCAGCCAGAGGATCACTCAAGCCCTGGGAGTTCTAGCCTGCAGGGAGCTGTGATCACGCCACTGCACTCCAGCCTGGGTGACTGAGTGAGACCCTGTCTCTAAGATAGATGGATGGATGGATGGATGGATGGATGGATGGATGGATGGATGGATAGAAGATAAACTGCGAGGCTAGCACGGGTTGTCTGGCAGGCGCTGGTATCTCTCCATGATGGAGCCCAGAGGCTGGGAGACCCCGTGCATATGGGCAGCAGCTTTTTGGGGAAGCTTTTCCCAGGCATGGTTCCAGGACACAAGGGTGTGGTGTGAGTGACCTGGAGCTGTTTGTGGCCCGGGGATGGGGGCCTGGAGGTCTCATATTGTCCCTAGGCTTTTGTAATATTTTTGCCAACCAAAGGTGGAACAAACAGCAAAGGCAAGTGACTTGGAAAACTCGGTTTCAGATGGCATTTGTGCACTGGAGTTTTTTACTTGTTCTCTATCTAATCCTGGCCCCACCTCTTAGATGGGCTATATGACCTTGGAGAATAACCTAGTCTGTGTGTCAGTTTTCTTTTTCTAGAAGGTGAGCTCCCCAGTCTCCCTAGAGGGAGATACATACAGGTTCTTGCATCCAACAAAATCTTGTGCCCACAATGTTGCAGGCAATGGGCCAGCCCAGAGGTCACACAGCCTGCCAACCCATCAGTGTGGCCCTGGCCCTATGTGTTAGCTGATTTACCTGACCAGGAGGGGCAGCAGTGGGGAGGCCAAGTCCCAGAGGTGAGGGTGAAGCTACAACGGACCTGGGGAGTCCCCCTCCAGTTAACTCCCCCCAGGCTTTCTGCCTGTGCCTCCTTCATCCTTCCCTCCTTGGGAACTTGGGACTCTGAGCCCCAGCTGGTGAGGGAGTAAGGGAGTGAGCGACAGGCCGGCAGACCAATGGGCCCTGGAGGATGGGGTGAGGCGGGGCTTGTGCTGCCATGGAGAGGAGAGAAGCGGTTCTGTGGGGGAGGAGGGGGTGGGTGGGAAGAGGACCTGGAGATTGAGGGGAAGGGAGAGAGCAAACAAAGGGGTCAGGAGGGAAAATAATGCACTGGCTTCCTGAGCCCCTGCAGAGGCTGAGCAGGGAGAGGGGGCCAGGGCCAGAGGGGACAGAGGCTGGCGGCAGACAGGCCGGGGCAGGCAGGTCCTAAATGGCATTGTTTGAAGGGGCTGGCTAATTGCACAGAGCAGTCTGAGCCTAAGACCCCAGCCCTGGCCCCCGCCTCTGTCCTGGGTGCTGGCGTCTGAGCCTTCGGGACAACCTGTCCACATGGAACCAAGTCCTGAGCCTCCGAGCTTGGTGAGGGGGAGGCTATGGGGGGCAGCCTGGGTGGGGTGCTTGGGCAAGAGCATCACCCTAAGAATGCATCCTGGGGCCTTGGGCTGGGAACATAGAGCCCATGGCGGGGCGTCTGGGGGAACACTGCCCCTCTCGTGTCCCTGCTTCCCTTCCACCCCACCCGTTCTGGCTTCTCCCACAGGAAAGCATGAAGGGAGACACCAGGCATCTCAACGGAGAGGAGGACGCCGGCGGGAGGGAAGACTCGATCCTCGTCAATGGGGCCTGCAGCGACCAGTCCTCCGACTCGCCCCCGATCCTGGAGGCCATCCGCACCCCGGAGATCAGAGGTGGCTGGGCAGTGGGGACTGGGGTGGTGTCAGGCGCTGACACATTGAGCGGTCACTGCAGACCACTGGAGGCTTTGGGGAGAGTCTCTGACAACCTCCACCACAATTCCCTGGGAGGGAAGAGAGCTCCAGCAAGGAGGGATGCAGGGCTGAGCCCTTCACGCCTGCCCGCAGCCCTTGGCCTCCCTTTTGAGACTCTCATCTCAACTGGGACTCTGAGCGTGACACAGGGTTGATGGTTCCCTGTTCTCCGCCAGTCATGACAGCATGGGCCCTCGGAGAGCTCTTCTGCAGTGGGACCCTCTCCCCACTCAGAGCTGGGCTGGGATTGGGAGGGGAGGTCTGGAGTGTGCTTCCTTTCCACCCTACCCTGAGCAGCTCCAGCCAGCTCACTTGGGATCCCGCCCCAGCTGGGCTGGAAAGCCCTGCATTGTCCTCTCAGCTGTGCCATCCCATGGAACTTCCTGCGAGCGTGAAAGGGTTCTATTTCTGCATTGTTCCCCACAATAGCCACACTCGACATGGGAGCCCTTGAGAAGCGGCTGACACGGCAGGCAGTGAATTGTTCCTGGAAATGTAGTTAGTGGTCCCTGGATGGGCAGCACCCTGCTGGAAGGAATCGGAGGGCTCCCCTTCTTGGTAACTTCAGTGTTGTTTTGGGTCCTGTCACGTGCCTGGCCCAGGGCTCTGTTGTCTTAGGAATAAAATCAGTGGAGAAGATGAACGATACCGAGGGACTGAGAGCAAACCCCTGTGGCTGACAATAGTGTAGGGGAGATCCCAGGCCACGCCACGGAGAGCAGCCCGTATCAGCAAGGCCGTTCCCTAGGCTGGTGCCTGCCCCCTCAAAACAGACTCCTGGCTGTTTCCTCTACAGGCCGAAGATCAAGCTCGCGACTCTCCAAGAGGGAGGTGTCCAGTCTGCTAAGCTACACGCAGGTATGGTCTCCGCCCTCCCTTTCTCAGGGCTCAGGCACGTTGTCTTTGGCTTTCATCACATGGGCAACCTGAGGCCCATAAAAACTGGCATCTGCAAATGCATGGAGGGTTGTCGAGCTAGATGCTTTCTGCGTATATTTGGCATTATTTTTTCAATCTGGACTATCAGTTACATTGAGAAATCTCTCATATGGTAGTCCCCTCTTATTTGTCATTTTGCTTTCCACGATTTCAGTTGCTTGCAGTCAGCTGCCGTCGGAAAGTATTAAATGGAAAATATTAAATGGTAAATCCCAGAAATAAGCAATTTATACATTTTAAATTGAGTGCCATTCTGGTAGCATGATGGAATCTCGCACTGTCCTGCTCTGTCCTGCCCAGGATCAGTCCTGTCTTTGTCCAACATCATGATGCTTAGGTGCTACCTGCCCGTTAGTCACTAGTGGCCATCTCCGTGATCAGATCAGTGGCAGTATCACAGTGCTTGTGTTCAAGTAATGCTTGTTTTACTTAATAACGGCCCCAAAGTGCAGGAGTGATGATGCTGGCAATTCAGTTATGCCAAAGAGAAGCCACGAAGCGTTTCCTTTCAGTGAAAAAGTGAAAGTTCTCAATAAGGAAAGACGTCATATGCTGAAGTTGTTAGATCGTGGTAAGAACAAATCTTCCAGCCGTGAAATGATGAAGAAGGAAAAATAAATTCATGCTAGTTTTACTGTTGCACCTCAAACTGCAAAAGTTAGAGCCATGTTGTGTGATAAGTGTGTAGCTAAGATGGGAAAGGCATTAAGTTTGTAGGTGGAAGACATGAACAGAAATGTGTTCTGATTGACAGCAGTGCTTTGTGCCAGGAAGCATTGAGCTGATAGATAGCAAGGCATCTCCTGACACCAAACCATTTACTTCAAGTAAGGGATGGTTACATAGATTCAAGAATAGGTTTCTACTGAAAACTATAAAAATGACTGGGGAGGCTGCATTTGCCAATGAAAAAGCTGCTGCTACATTTTCAGAAGAGTTGAAGTTGATTGAGAAAGGAAACCATCCAAAACTGCAGTGAAACCAGACTCCTCCAGAAGATGATGTCTGATATAACCTACATTCATAAAAGTGCAGAGGAGGAAGACACCAGGTCATAAACCGTGGAAGGACAGATAAACCCTGAATAGAGTACGAGAGAGAAACCACATTCATATGGCTTTTATTAACAGTATATTGTAATTGCTCTATTTTATTATTGTTAATCTGTGCCTAATTTATAAATTAAACTTTATCCTAGGTATGTAGATATAGACAAAAACACAGCACATATAGGGTTCCATGTTCCAAGGTGTCAGGCAGCCATGGGGGGTCTTGAATGTATCCTCCCTGGATAAGGGGAGACTACTGTATAGCAAACTGTCCTTTTTTTTTTTTTTTTTTTTTGAGACGGAGTCTCGCTCTGTCGCCCAAGCTGGAGTGCAGTGGCCGGATCTCAGCTCACTGCAAGCTCCGCCTCCCGGGTTCACGCCATTCTCCTGCCTCAGCCTCCCAAGTAGCTGAGACTACAGGCGCCCGCCACTTCGCCCGGCTAGTTTTTTGTATTTTTTAGTAGAAACGGGGTTTCACCGTGTTAGTCAGGATGGTCTCGATCTCCTGACCTCGTGATCCGCCCGTCTCAGCCCCCCAAAGTGCTGGGATTACAGGCTTGAGCCACTGCGCCCGGCCAGCAAACTGTCTTTTTATTCCTGGAATGAGTCCAACTTGGTCATGGTGCATTTTGAAGTTGATTTTATTCGTGTATTCATGAATGAAATGGGTATAGGATTTTTTTTTTTATTCATTTATTTTTGTTGCACTCCAGTCTGTTGCCCGGGCTGGAGTGCAGTGGCATGATCTCTGCTCACTGCAACCTCCCGCCTCCCAGGCTCAAGGGATTCCCCTGCCTCAGGCTCCTGAGTAGCTGGGACTACAGGCAGTGTACCACCATACCCAGCCAATTTTTTTCTATTTTTAGTAGAGACGGGGTTTCACCATGTTGACCAGGTTGGTCTCGAACTCCTGGCCTCAAGTGATCCACCTGTCCCTACTTCCCAAAGTGCTGGGATTACAAGTGTGAGCCACCGCACCCGGCCGATTTTATTTCTTTAAATCTATCTGTAGTTTTGATGTCAGGGTTATGTGGGCTCTAGGAATTTTTTTACAAGCTGGAAAAAAACTTGTCTAAGCTTATTTTAATGAATTTCAAACAATTATATCTTTTAAGACTTGCTACATTATCAAGCTTTCTACTTCAATTACTTTTCCAAGATTGGATCTTTCCCATCATGTTTTGTGTTCCTTCCTTTACTGACACCGTCTGTTTCCTAATTATTCGTAGTAGAGTTTATCAGTTGCGTTGGTTTTGCTCAGAGCCAGTGTCAGTCAAAAAAGTCCTGAGCAATGAAAACTCACCCTCAGCTTCCATTCTCAGTGGTGGCCAACCTACTGAGGGGACTGAGAAGGTGAGGAATCCAAGCCCTGGGAGGAGTTAGGGCAGCTGCAGGATCAGAGGCTCAGCACTGCTGTTTTGTTTCTGATAGCTAGTTACCAGTAACAGTAGGGAAATCTCTTGGCCACACATTTCTTTTTGTTTGTTTGTTTTGTTTTGTTTTGAGACAGAGTCTCACTGGAGTGCAGTGAGACTCTGTCTCAAAACTCGCTGCAACCTCCACCTCCCAGGTTTAAGCGATTCTCCTGCCTCAGCCTCCTGAATTTGAGTAGTATGAGTAGCTGGAATTACAGGCACACGCCACCATGCCCTGCTAATTTTTGTATCTTTGGTTTCGCTATATTGGCCAGGCTGGTCTTGAACTCCTGACCTCAGGTGATCCACCCGTCTCGGCCTCCCAAAGTGCTGGGATTACACGCCCGGCCTAATTTTTGTGTTCTTAGTAGAGATGGGGTTTCACCATCTTGGCCAGACTGGTCTCAAACTTCTGACCTCAGGTGACCTCAGTCTGCCCCAGCCTCCCAAAGTGTTGGGATTACAGGTATGAGCCACCACACTTGGCATATTATTTGAATCTTGATGTAACCCTGTTGTGCTGTGAGGGAAGTACTGTTATTCCAATTTTAAAATGAGAGAAATGGACTCAAAGCCACATAGTTGGTGAGGGAAGGCAAGTACTTAGCACTCCAGCCAGACCTAGCTGCTCACTGCTTCAGCGTTTGTGTTTGGCTTATGTTGGGTTTTGGTGTGAGGTGTGAGACCTGCACGAGGAAGCCTTGATGGCATGGTGCAGGTTTCATGGCATTGCTTCCGGGGCATCTCTCGTGGTTGGCCTGTGTCTGCACCCATATGCGGTGTGTTGTGGTAAGTGACCTGGTCTCCCTGTGAGACACAGGCGGTCAGTCTTGCATATTGCAGTTGCCTTGTTTCTTTGACTTGCTGATACCCTGGGGCCTTCTTCATGTTCATCGTGTTTCCTTATACAGGACTTGACAGGCGATGGCGATGGGGAAGATGGGGATGGCTCTGACACCCCAGTGATGCCAAAGCTCTTCCGGGAAACCAGGACTCGGTCAGAAAGCCCAGCTGTAAGTAGTCACACCCTGAGCCAAAGCTCTCGTAGCCACCCGTTGACATAGCATAACAAAAGTGTCTTCCATCTCCTTAAGGGAGCTTTTAAGAGAGAAAGTGGCAACCAAATGTTTTGAAACTAGAAAATATAGCCAGGCGTGGTGGCTTATGCCTGTAATCCCAGCACTTTGGGAGGCCAAGGCGGGCGGATCATGAGGTCAGAAGATCAAGACCATCCTGGCTCTACTAAAAACATAAAAAATCAGCCGAGCATGGTGGCAGGCGCCTGTGTAGTCCCAGGAAACTGGGAGGCGGAGCTTGCAGTGAGCTGAGGAAAAAAAAAAAAGAAACTAGAAAATACAGGCAAGGCTCTGGGACTGTTGTTGGAAAGTTTTCTTTTTTCTTTTTCTTTTTTTTTCTTCTTTTTTTTAAGATAGAGTCTCGCTCTGTTGCTCAGGCTGGAGTGAGATGGCGTGATCTTAGCTCACTGCAACCTCTGCCTCCTGGGTTCAAGCGATTCTCCTGCCTCAGTCTCCCAAGTAGCTGGGATTACAGGCACCTACCACCATGCCTGACTGATTTTTCTATTTTTAGTAGAGATGAAGTTTCACCATGTTGGCCAGGCTGGTCTCGAACTCTTGACCTCAGGTGATCCACCCACCTTGGCCTCCCAAAGCTGAGATTTCGAGCATGAGCCACTGTGCCCAGCCGGAAGGTTTTCAGTATGTGCCATTTCTTTCAGGTGGTTTTTAAGTTCTTTCTTGTGACACTCTTGGAGGTGCCCAAGAGTGATAAGAGTTTGCAGGGTGGACAGCTCAGCTGCTAATGACCTAGGGAGTCCACCACTTTTGTGGGTGGATTTTGTGGCTCAAAGTTTTGAGGTCTGGCAATGGGAAGGCAGTTATTGCTTATGGTCACCTAACCCTTTAGAGACCAGACTGACAGTTACTATCCCAGGTGTGGGTTACAGTCTTCCTTCCCAGGATATGGGCTGTATCATCCCCTTTGTGGAGATGAGAGAAGATTCCAGCAACTAACTCGAGATTAAACATCAACTCTTCTATGCAGAATTTGAACACAGGTTCTGCAACAACCAAATTCATGCCATTTTTGACAATGAACATAGTGCCTAAGGAATTCTCTTCCATCTTGATGATCTGGTGCCTTCCTGAACCCAGTAATTGGCTTTATGCTTCTTTGACATAAAAGTTTTAGAGTGAACATGAATTTTTCTTTCTTTCTGTTTTTTTCTTTTTTTTCTTTTTTTGAGCTGCAGTCTCACTATTACCCAGGCTGGAGTGCAGTGATGTGATATCAGCTCACTGCAGCCTCCACCTCCCTGGTCCAAGTGATTCTCCTGCCTCAGCCTCCTGAGTAACTGTGACTACAGGCACTCACAACCACGCCTGGCTAATTTTTGTATTTTTAGTAGAGATGGTTTTTCACCATTTTATCCAGGATGATCTCCAATTTCTTTTTTTTTTTTTTTTTGAGACAGAGTCTTGCTGTGTCACCCAGGCTGGAGTGCAGTGGCGCGATCTCGGCTCACTGCAAGCTCCGCCTCCCGGGTTTACGCCATTCTCCTGCCTCAGCCTCCAAGTAGCTGGGACTACAGGCGCCCGCCACCTCGCCCGGCTAATTTTTTGTATTTTTTAGTAGAGACGGGGTTTCACCATGTTAGCCAGGATGGTCTCGATCTCCTGACCTCGTGATCCGCCCTTCTCGGCCTCCCAAAGTGCTGGGATTACACGGTTGAGCCACCGCGCCCGGCCTGATCTCCAATTTCTGACCTCAAGTGATCTGCCCGCCTTGGCCTCCCAAAGTGCTGGGATTACAGGCATGAGCCACTGCGCTTGGCCAGATTTTTATTTTTCAATCCCAATTGGCAGGTGCCATTTCAGGTGGCCAAGTCTGTCTGCTGTGACAGGCAGAGCAGGACCTGCTGGGAATTGTCAGGCAGCCTAGCTGGCCACCCTACCACCTCTATTCTAAGAACTGGGGAATTCTGGCTGGACTCAGTCCAGAGTCCCTCCTTATCACCTTTTCATTTCCAGTTGTCCTGAAGCTGGCTACCAGGTCTCCTTGGCCACCTCAAGGCCTAATCCTCCTGGCCCCGCCAGACCCCAAGCCTCCAGTCACCTAAGGCCCAGTGCATGTCCTCTCTTGCTTCCAGGTCCGAACTCGAAATAACAACAGTGTCTCCAGCCGGGAGAGGCACAGGCCTTCCCCACGTTCCACCCGAGGCCGGCAGGGCCGCAACCATGTGGACGAGTCTCCCGTGGAGTTCCCGGCTACCAGGGTTGGTTCCCCAGATGCCCAGACCCCTGCCCCCAGTCTCTAACTGGGAGATATGCCTCACTCACTGCACTACTGTCTGTGGCTGGTGGATAATCTTGTGTCCTTTTTTTGCACTGCTTTTCAGGTTCTTGCTTTTTCTTTTCTCTCCTGGGTAAGCTTCCCGTAAGCCTGTTGGCTTCTCTCCTGGTCTGATCTCAGATGCACTGACCTCACTCACTGCACTACTGTCTGTGACTGAGGGATAATCTGTGTCCTTTTTTCACACTGCTTTTCAGGTTCTTGCTTTTTCTTTTCTTTCCTGGGTAAGCTTCCTGTAAGCCTGTTGGCTTCTCTCCTGATCTGATCTCAGATGACCCTCTGTTGGGAATGGAAGTTTTCCCTGTTGACTTGATTCTTTCTCTAACTTGGAAACAAGGTAGAAACCACTGACTTCCAGGACTGTCTTCTCCCTAATGTCTTCACCTGTCTTGAGGCAACCCTAGGGGGTATGGCAACACTTCACTCTCGTTGTAAGAATAGTCACATGCACAGTAAACGCTCAAAGAAGCCAGTGACCTGCTCCGAGCTTGGCTCTAAGAGTCCCTCGTCATTACCCATCATTTGTGCCTTCGTCGTCTTTCTGTCTCTGTCGCTGGGACAGTTGTAATGACCTTCTCCCACCTCTTAAGGGATACATGTTCCTGGAAAAGTTTCTTCAGCGGTCTCTGTTCTCTTTAACTCTTTCCTCTTTCTTTTTGCCTAGGAGGCATATGGGGGTGCCGTTGGTCCCCAACATCCTTTGCTGTGGCCCAAACTATGTGTCCTTCTGTCCACAGTCCCTGAGACGGCGGGCAACAGCATCGGCAGGAACGCCATGGCCGTCCCCTGCCAGCTCTTACCTTACCATCGACCTCACAGATGACACAGAGGACACACGTGTGACGCCCCAGAGCAGCAGTACCCCCTATGCCCGCCTAGCCCAGGACAGCCAGCAGGAGGGCATGGAGTCCCCGCAGGTGGAGGCAGACAGTGGAGATGGAGACAGTTCAGAGTATCAGGTATGGCCGAGAGGGGCTCCTGCCCAGGGTGACTGAACATGGGGAAAAACCAGTTACCTGCTACTGTTGGTAACATAGAGTGACAATAGTTGTTAGAATTTTTGTAATTGTAATAATTGACATGTTTGAATTCTGAATATCTTCCATATGCACCACAGTCATTTCTTTACCTTAATCCTCTCCCAGACATAAGTCAAATGCCAGTATTTACCACGTGAATACTGTGATTTTTCTCAACATGACATTTATATAAGGACTGCAACTGCATGCGTAATACATATTGTGATTCTGTTCATCAGATTGTACATACTGTATATATTGTACATATTATACCTTTTTCTTCTATTAAGAACTACAGTTGCCTGAGGTTCATGTCTGTATAATAAATCCAGTGGTCTGGATCATAGCTTAATTAACCAATTGAGGTTGTTTATGCTTTTATTCAAGCATTGCTACATGAAGACTACTTACACATGTATGTATTTATGTGTTAGGATCCCTTTTTTCTATGTCCATTCGTACATTTTACTTTGTATAGAAGGGATCTCACTATGGGGCCCAGGCTACTCTCAAACTCCTGGCCTCAAGCGATCCTCCTATCTCAGCCTCCTTAGTAGCTAGGACTACAGGCATGCACCACAAAGCCCAGTTACTTTATAAATTCTTTTGTGGAAATGGAGTCTTGCTATGTTGCCTGGGCTAGTCTCCAACTCCTGGCCTCAAGCGATCCTCCCGCCTCGGTCTCCCAAAGTACTGAGAATTACAGGCATGAGCCACAGTGTCTGGCTACATCTCGTATTTTATGGCAAGCTTTTTGTTGCCCTCAGGGACAGTGGAGTGGACAGGATGGCCTCTCCTCACTGGGATTTCTTCATGTGGCTTTTATTCCAGGATGGGAAGGAGTTTGGAATAGGGGACCTCGTGTGGGGAAAGATCAAGGGCTTCTCCTGGTGGCCTGCCATGGTGGTGTCTTGGAAGGCCACCTCTAAGCGACAGGCTATGTCTGGCATGCGGTGGGTCCAGTGGTTTGGCGATGGCAAGTTTTCCGAGGTGAGTCTGGGGAAGGGCAAGGGGCTTTGCAGGCCTGAGGCTGTGCCTTCCTTCCTTCCTTTGAAGACAAAGGCCTGGGATTGCCTTCTGCAGATGCACAAGCCTATGTCTCACACTGTCTGGGAGGAAGGACAAAACTTCCTGTGTTAACCAGCTACAGCAGATTTTTAGTGTCTTGTGGGTCTACTTATACAGGGGATAAAAGTGCTAGAAAGTTCTGGATCCATGGGCAGTTGATTTTATGTTATTTCTTACATTTATCTTTTGGGGGCAGAACCACCAGTGCGGACTCTGAGGGGCCAGGAGTGGCCATGTGAGCAGGTACCCGAAAGTGTTCAGTGGAGAAGCCTGGACGAGACCAGAAGCATGGCCATGGCCTCTTGTCATTTAGCCATGGGGAGAGAAAGGCATCCTTAGGTGGCCTGCAGTTACCTGGTGTCAGTTATGAAAAGGGTTTTTAGTAGAATTGGTTATTTCAGAGTCTCTTCATGATTGATATTAGCCATTTAAAATCTTTCTTGGTAATTAAATTTATCTGGGGAAGAGCTATGTTGGGCATAACTAGGCTGTTTTGATTTTTACAGTCTTTCAACAAAGATTTTTTTTTTTGGGGGGGATGGAGTCTTGCTCTGTTACCCAGGCTGGAGTGCAGTGGTGTGATCTTGGCTCATTGCAACCTCCGCCTCTCAGGTTCAAACGATTCTCCTGCCTCAACCTCCTGAGTAGCTGGGGTTACAGGCACCCGCCACCATGCCCTGCTAATATTTACATTTTTAGTAGAGACTGGGTTTCACCATGTTGGCCAGGGTGGTCTCCAACTCCTGACCTCAGATGATCCATCCGCCTCAGCCTCCTGTGCTGGGATTACAGGCGGAAGCCACCACACCTGGCCTCAACAAAGATTTTAATCAGAACTTTCCTGTGATGGTCTCTTAGAAGTAAATATTAGTCCCACCCTCAGAGCCCTGAGAGAGGCTAAGTTAGGTGCCTAAGGTCATTGGGCAAGTTGGAGTTGCAGCACCAGCAAGCCAGGCAGGATTGAAGGAAGGACTGTACCTTAATCCTCTCCCAGACATAAGTCAAATGCCACTATTTACCACGTGAATATTGTGATTTTTTTCAACATGACATTTATATGAGGACTGCAACTGCATATGTAATACATATTGTGATTCTGTTCATCAGAGTGCATGTATAGCCTCAAGCAGAGATTCTGTTTTTCCCACAAATTGAGCTACCAGGGGCCATTTGCCATGAGTGAATTCAAGTTTCCCAAGGGTTACAATAATATATTGGGTCTGGAGTCTCTCTTGTAGAAGAGACTCTGCATGCAGTTGGCTGCTGTGACCAGCAGAGGGAGCAGAAGGACAAGTCCTGGGCCCATGCTGGCAGTGAGGCAGCTACTTCCAGGGATGGGAGAGCAGTAACTTCTGTCAAGTGAAGGAAGATGGATTGTTTGCAATTGCTTTGCCCCATTTAGACATAAAACGCACTTTGCAAGACAGAGTCTGAGGCTAATACAATGCAGTGTGGGGCTGTCAGCATTAGGGGATGAGATGACAATATGGGACCTGGCTCTGGCCTGGGCGAGTGCCTGCTCAGCATGTGTGCGCTGTTTGGGTTGCATTGGAGCCATTGGGCGCTGGAACCAGCACTTGTGTTGGAGCGGTTTTTTTTTACCCCTACCAGAGCCCCCCGGTATTTTCTCCCCGGTGGTGGTCACACGCCCACATAAAATGGAGGTTTGCATGAGTGTGAGCACTCTCTGTGGAGAATAGAACATTCCCTGTGTCTTTCAGTTCTTTTTTTTTTAAGACATGAGGTCCTCACTGTCACTCAGGCTGCAGTGCAGTGGCACTGTCATGGCTCACTGCAGCCTCAGTCACCTGGGCTCAAGCAATCCTTCCTTAGAGCAGCTGAAACTGCAGGTGCACACCACTGTGTTTGGTTCTTAAAATTTTTTGTAAAGATGGGGTCTTGCTCTGTTGTCCAGGCTAGTTGAACTCCTGGGCTCAAGCGATCCTTCCAACTCCCACTCCCAGAGTGCTGGGAGTATAGGCCTGAGCCACTACGTCTGGCCTTTCAGTTCTGATTAGCATCCCTGAATAGCCATTTTCTCTCTCACTGGCAACTCAGTCATTTCATGCTTGGTCTGGGGACTTGGTACATCAGGAGACTTGTGGAATATGGATTAAATCACAAGAACTAAAGTTAAATAATCACAATAAGTGAAAGGTGCTAACTGTGTCAAGCACTGTTTTCTAAACACATTCATTAGGTGAACTCATTTTATTATTTTTATTTTTTTATTTTTTTTGAGACAGAGTCTCGCTCTGTCGCCCAGGCTGGAGTGCAGTGGCCAGATCTCAGCTCACGCAAGGTCCACCTCCCGGGTTTACACCATTCTCCTGCCTCAGCCTCCTGAGTAGCTGGGACTACAGGCGCCCGCCACCTCGCCTGGCTAGTTTTTTGTATTTTTTTTTTTTTTTTAAGTAGAGACGGAGTTTCACTGTATTAGCCAGGATGGTCTCCATCTCCTGACCTTGTGATCCGCCCATCTCGGCCTCCCAAAGTGCTGGGATTACAGGCTTGAGCCACTGCGCCTGGCTTTTGAACTCATTTTAATAAAAGGGTAAAGAGTAAACAATTACCATGCTTAGGAAAGAAGGAATATGTACAAACCCCTGATGCCGGAGCATCCACAGAGAATATTAGGACTGAGCCTCAGGGTTCCAGACCAGGGACACTTGCTTGTAAAATGTATACAAACAAAGGGTTCGCCTCATTGCCTTCATTCAGAGTATCCTCCTTTTCCACAGTGGGAGTGTCATAACTAACAAGTTTCTGGGTATCTGTGTGTTGAGACTCTGTCATTTCTAGTTTTCTGCTTTTTCCTTTCCTTCCTTTTAAATGGATATCTGTGGACTTGATCCCCAGGAACGGGTTCTTGGTTAAAGTGTATGAAAATCTTCTGCATCTGATGGACAACATTGTGATAGACATGGCACCTGGGACACACCTGTAGGTGGATGTTGATGATGTCTTTCTCTTTTAGGTCTCTGCAGACAAACTGGTGGCACTGGGGCTGTTCAGCCAGCACTTTAATTTGGCCACCTTCAATAAGCTCGTCTCCTATCGAAAAGCCATGTACCATGCTCTGGAGGTAACATGGGATGAGGGAATGAGGGCTAGGCCCTGAGAGCAGGGATGAAGGAAGAGACCCACGGAAACCTAGCTCAGTGTTGCCAAGGGTGGTTTGGAGGGGACAGGTTGGCCAGGGAGGAGGTAAATGCCAACATAACATGATGGCCACCGGATTGGGCCATCCAACAAAGGAATCTGAGACATCCCAGCTGCCATTTATTGGGACCACTAACTGAATCAGAAGGAAAGAGCACGGGCAGTTAGGGGTGCAATATTCATATCAGTGAATGTGCTTTTCCAGAGACCTCAGAGCCACCTTATGAGGGGTGGAGTTCATGGCAAGACGGCAGTGGAGGCCGGCTGCCTTCTATCTGTGGGCCATATTATCCCCTACGAACCATTACACCCTGTTTCTCCCTTCACGTTGATTTTTTTTGCCCACCTTTGTTCAGCATTTAGGAGCCAGCCTCTTCTCATTGCCAAAGGCTTCATTAGACACTGAAATCCTCATGGTCCTTCATGTTGGACACAAGTTAACGTCCCCATCTTTAGGGAGATGAAACAAGAAATCTAGTGCTTTCTTATATAAGATACAGAGGATATGAGGTAGTGCTGACTGGGGCTTCTGTATCTTGGTGGTAGAGTTAATTCTGATCTATCTGCCTTTTGAGAGGGAGGTGACCACTCACATTCTCTAGGGGGAAGAGATCCTATTTGGTGCCTGCATGAAAAGATTTAACCACAACCCCTCTTCCGAGGCCTCTCCCTGCACAGGCCCCTCCTTCCTCTGACACATACCGCAGCCCAGGACAGCTGTCTGGCTATGAAAGGGCCTAGTGTGAAGGGGAATGTAGGCCCTGGCTGGGGGACTCCCTGGGTGTGGCCTGGCGAGCACCCCCTCCCCACCCGCCATTCATCACAGACTCTGCCTTTGCAGAAAGCTAGGGTGCGAGCTGGCAAGACCTTCCCCAGCAGCCCTGGAGACTCATTGGAGGACCAGCTGAAGCCCATGTTGGAGTGGGCCCACGGGGGCTTCAAGCCCACTGGGATCGAGGGCCTCAAACCCAACAACACGCAACCAGGTGGGAATGAGTCCCCATGGCAGCACCTGCTGCCTGTGCTGGTGGGACCACTTCTTGGGAGAGTCAGCCACCCCTGCTGCCCCACGCCCACCCAGCTTTCTAGCAGCTGGGCTCAACTCTGAATGTTGGAAAAATTGCAGGCATACGAAGGCTGTGTCAGCCCTATCTGGCTTCCCTGGCCACTTTCTTGCTGATGGTCATGTGCATATAATTTGTACTGAATCTGACATCTGCCTTGAAGTCAGGATGCAGTGTTGACTAGCACCTTTTTTATTAAAGGAAAAAAATAGTTAAGCTATGCTCATTCGAGAAAATTGGAAAGTGTTAAAGAAGAACCATATGCCACCTGCTAACATTTTGACCAGTACCATATTTCTCCCATTATAAGATAACTCTGGTTTCTAGAAATCCAGGACTTGTCTTACAATCTATACATTTAAAGGCCAGGCATAGTGGCTCACGCCTGTAATCCCAGCACTTTGGGAGGCTGAGGCGGGCAGATCGCTTGAGGCGAGTAGATCGAGACCAGCCAGGACAACATGGTGAAAAATAGAAAAATTAGCCTGGTGTGCTTGGCATGTGCCTGTGGTCACAGCTACCCGGGAGGCTGAGGTGGGAGAATTGTCTTGAGTCCAGGAGGCAGAGGTTGCAGTGCACCGAGATCGCACCACTGCATTCAAGCCTGGGCGACAGAGCAAGACCTTGTCTCAAAAAAGAAAACAGTCCATACATTTAATGTAATGTTTTTTCTGTTTTGTTTTGTTTCTGCCTCAAAAGTGGTTAATAAGTCGAAGGTGCGTCGTGCAGGCAGTAGGAAATTAGAATCAAGGAAATACGGTATTTCCTTCCCGTCTTTTGACTGTTCCCTGTTTTCTATGCACTTTCTTCTGATTTCTTTGCATATAAAATGGTCACTGGAAAAGAATCAAATTTCTTGAAGAGTCTATCTGAACTCCCCACTCTCCCTTCACATCCCACCCTCACAAATACCCTCCGGGTTAATATTGGGTTGCACATCCTTCCAGATTTTTCTGAACACTAGTTGGATTCCTGCTTTCCCCTTTATTAATATTAATACTGTAAGCACTGTCTGTCATTTTGTCACGAAAGGGTCCTTATGATTTTTAATGGCTGTACAATTTTCTTTCCTAGGGTCAGAGTCAAATTTAACCACGTTCATTAAGATTTTCCGTATAGAAAGACAAATGGGTTTTACAAAATCTCATTTATAGAATGGGAGCCATATTATGTAATTAAAATTTTTTCTAGTAGCCTCACTGAAAATTAAGAGGTACTGGGCTTGGTGGCTCATGCCTGTAATCCCAGCACTTTGGGATGCAAATAACCATCTCTTGGATTTCCCAGCATTTTGGGACGCTGAGGTGGGCAGATTGCTTGAGCTCAGGAGTTCCAAGACCAGCCTGGGCAACATGGTGAAACCCTGTTTCTACAAGAAATACAAAATTAGCTGTGTGAGATAGTGTGTGCCTGTGGAGGCTGGGGTGGGAAGATCACCTGAGCCCAGGAGGTTGAGGCTGCAGTTTGCTAAGATCATGCCAGTGCATTCCAGCCTGGGTGACACACTGAGAACCTGTCTCAAAAAAGAAAAAAAGAAAAAAAAGAAAGAAAGAAAAAAGGAGGCTGGTGCAGTGGCTCATGCCTGTAATTCCAGCACTTCGGGAGGCTGAGGCAGGCAGATCCCTTGAGGTCGGGAGTTCACCAGCCTGGCCAACATGGCAAAACCCTATCTCTATTAATATACAAAAATTAGCCAGATGTGGTGCTGCATGCCTGTAAGAGGCTGAGGCAGGAGAATTGCTTGAACCCAGGAGGCGGAGGTTGCAGTGAGCCAAGATCTACACCATTGCACTCCAGCCTGGGCAACAAGAAAGGAACAATTAAAATTAATACAAATCATGATTTTTTTAGCACTAAATTTCCAAAATGTTAACATTTCAATATTCAGCTATTATAAAAACTGAGATAGTCTTCATTTATAGTGCTGTTTTCAAAATTTCACTTATTTTATATATTTTACATAGTACATATTATACAGATCTCAATTTTGATGCTAAATTTGCAATGAAAATACTTGATCCGTATTAAGTATATACAGATTGATAACTAAATACAGATGTAGATGTTTAAACACATTAACTAAATTCATAAAACACGCATTTGAGAAAGTAGACTCATAGGTCTAGGCTAGTCCTAGTTGACTTGCTTGTCAGTGTTTTAATTAACATTAAATACAGAATTCATTTCCTCACCAGTTTCAAGTTCTCAGTAGCCACCCCCATGCCTACTGCCCAGCATGTCAGATATCACAGACATAGGTGTGTCAGGCTTTTAGCTTTGAATTGAGCTTTGCTCTCTGAGCTGAGTCATCTTTACCTCCTAGTTGTGGCCATTTAAAACCTTGTAAGCATGTGTTAAGAATCCTGGGTGCAAGGGGTTTTGAATGAGCTCCTGTTGTGAGTTGCCCATCAAGGGGCCATATACATTCAGTGTGGACCCCCTGTCATGCCCCAATTGCAGCTGGTACCCAGGCATAGCATGGTCTTGTCCTGGGCCCACATTCTCTCTGGACCCTCCTACCAAGCCACGGCTGCAGTCTAATTACCTTTCACAGAGAACAAGACTCGAAGACGCACAGCTGACGACTCAGCCACCTCTGACTACTGCCCCGCACCCAAGCGCCTCAAGACAAATTGCTATAACAACGGCAAAGACCGAGGGGATGAAGATCAGAGCCGAGGTGATTGTTGGGGACCCGCTACCTGGGATCATGGGGCAGATGGGAGGAGGATGCTGCAGACCAGGAATTGATCCGTACCCGGCTCCCTGACCTCATCCCATGCCTTCTTATTCTTTTCTCAATAGAACAAATGGCTTCAGATGTTGCCAACAACAAGAGCAGCCTGGAAGGTAATGCTCTCTCCCTCCCAGTCATCCCCTTCACACCCTGGCTAGGGCTCTATGCCTTCCTCGTCCTGGCTCATCCGCCCTGTCAGGGTTTAACCCAGAGCTCTGTTCCTTGACCTCAGGCCAAGGCCTATTTCTAGTCCCTGCATCTTAGTTGCTAGTTTATGGAATGAATTGCCCACTTGTGCCCCTTAAGAGAAAGGGACAGGAAGGGTATGGTGAGGAAGAAGGGAAGCCAGGCCATTTTGGCCAGGAGAACCATAACCTAAAACCAAGGTTAGTGGTATCATGAACTTCCCAAAGAACGGCAACTAACTAGCTTTTACTCACTTGCCTACTGTCAGGTTAAATAGTCTGCTTGTCCTAGCTGGGGATTGCCACTGGATTGGATACTCTGGCCAGATTATACCTCATGGAATGCAGAATGTGTGAGGATGAAGTCTCCCTTGCTCCCTTAACCCCCAGTTACTCCGTGTTGAATAGGAAAACACCACATCCCTGACCCAGAGAACCCGGGGAAGAGCTTCGATTTAGAAATCCTATTCCCCAAGACTCACTCACCCATCTGGCTAGGTAGCGATGCTTGGTCATATAAAGGTCCTATCTACCCAGCCAGGGATGCAACTCCTTGCTGATCTGGTGATATGAAGGGAAGGCAAGGTTGTCTACTGGTTAAAGGACCCGGATTCTGAGATTACAGCCATTTGCTGTTTTTAGGGTGTGGGTGTGGGCAAGTCCTATCATGAGACAACAAGCCAATTGGAGTCACCACAAAATCCTCGATGTCCCAGTAATTAAAGCTTCTCAAGGATTGTCACACCAGAGAGGTCCCTCTGCTCAGCGTTCTGCCTGACATCATCCTCCTGGGGCGGCCCCTTGCCCATCTTGATGTTCCCCATCTGTGAAGTAGGGATGCCACCTGGAAGCATTGCTGAAAGGTAGAAGCTGTGAGGCATGGCCTGAGGCACGAAGAGTCCTTGGCAAGCAGCTGGCCTGGAGGAAAATCTTAGGAACTGAGAGACCCAGGCTTCAGCAACTGGTGTCAGGGCCTCAATTGCCACAAGCCCCAACCCTGTTTTTCTTACAGACGGCTGTTTGTCTTGTGGCAGGAAAAACCCCGTGTCCTTCCACCCTCTGTTTGAGGGGGGCCTCTGTCAGACATGCCGGGTAAGTCCTCCTGCTGCTCCGGACCTTCCTGCCCTCGCCTCCTCCAGCTCCCCTGTCCTTCCGAGCAGCACCTGTGTGGAGCCTCAGTGAAGCCCACTCATCCTAGCTGCCTTGCACTCTGCCTCTGGGGCGGGACGGGGGAGAGCTGTCGTAGAGGCCAGAGGCACACAGGTCACAGCCAGTTGTCCTTTTAAAGGACAGCAAGCCACCAGCAGTGTATTCTGCGGCTGTATTGTAGGGCCTCCACCAGCAAGCTGGCAGGGCCTGGCCTTCTCTGGTCTCCGATTTCACTGGTGTTTCTCTCTGGCTGCCAGGATCGCTTCCTTGAGCTGTTTTACATGTATGACGACGATGGCTATCAGTCTTACTGCACCGTGTGCTGCGAGGGCCGAGAGCTGCTGCTTTGTAGCAACACGAGCTGCTGCCGGTGAGCACTGGGCCCTGTGGGCAGGATGTGGGTGGGCCCCCAAGGCTCCTAGGTTCCTGCAGTCTGCAGACAGCTGCCTGTTGAATGGAATCCTAGGCATGGGAAGAGGGAGCTAATTTGCCCTGGAAGCAGCATACAGGGTTTATGTTTTGTGGTGGCCGCGGTTGTAGCTTAATTGGGGTAGAGCTCGTGTGTAGGAAAGGGCTCTTTTTTTTGAGACAGGGTCTCGCCCTGGGTGTACAGTCACGTGATCATAGTTCACTGCAGCCTCCAATTCCTGTGCTCAAGCAGTCCTCCCACCTCAGCCTCCTGAGCAGCTTGATTATAGGCACATGCCACCACACCCAGCTAGTTGTTCTTCTTTTTTTTTTTTCTGTGGTGGAGTCTTGCTCTGTCACCCAGGCTGGAGTGCAGTGGCACAATCTTGGCTCACTGCAACCTCTGCCTCCAGGGTACAAGCAATTCTCATGCCTCAGCCTCCCAAGTAGCTGGAATTTTAAGTGTGCAACACCACGCCCAGGTAATTTTTGTGTTTTTAGTAGAAACAGGGTTTCACCATGTTGACCAGGCTTGTCTTGAACTCCTGACTTCAGGTAATCCACCTGCCTCAGCCTCTCAAATCCCAGCACTCCCAAGGTTCTGGGATTACAGGCGTGATCCACCATGCTTGGCCTATTTTTTTGTAATAAATAAAAAGTATAGTAAATGCTGCCTAGGCTGGTCTCAAATCCCTGGGCTCAAGCCATTCTCCTGCCTCAGCCTCCCAAAGCCCCAGGGTTACAGGTGTGAGTCACCGCACCCAGCTAGAAGTGCTCTTAATAGGCCAAGAGCATGAGGGAAGGGGATGAGAAGGGCATCAGGGAAGGCTAACTCCCTGGTTTGCCAGTTGGCCTGTAATCCAAAGTGTCCATGGAATGAAGTAGGTTGTTGGGAGAGCATTTCTGATTAAGGGGGTTGGGGTATCCAAGGAAGACGTCAGGGAAGCCCGTACTGCACAGGGCCCTGCAGGCTATGCTGTTAAGCAGCCGATCCTAGGTAAGCTTTCAGGAGGGGGTGGGCATTTCCCTGTGGAAGTGGTAAGGGGGTGGCACAGGAGACCAACTCGATGACAAAGGCATGCCTTCTCCCTGCCACTGGGTCCAGGTGCTTCTGTGTGGAGTGCCTGGAGGTGCTGGTGGGCACAGGCACAGCGGCCGAGGCCAAGCTTCAGGAGCCCTGGAGCTGCTACATGTGTCTCCCGCAGCGCTGTCACGGCGTCCTGCGGCGCCGGAAGGACTGGAACGTGCGCCTGCAGGCCTTCTTCACCAGTGACACGGGGCTTGAATACGTAAGCCACAGGCTCCCGCCTCTACCACCACAGATCCCAGGGGCACAGGGTGTTGGAACGCTCTGGAATTCTCAGAGAGAGAGTAATAGAAGTAAACACACATTGTACAAGTGGAACCTCTCGGAGCCCCAACGGCTGACAGACCTGGCAAATTGACAGCTCCTCTGCACGGTTTTCACCTGTGCCAGGGTTCACTCCCTCCTTGCCGGCTTCTCAGTATATGGATTTTCAGGGACCCGATGAAGAAATGGTTGTAGCCTTCTGTGTTAGCAGAGCTGAGAGGGAAGGAAATAGTAGAAATGAATTTTCTAGTTCCTAGAGGCAGGCCCTAGGTCTTTCCTATCTGGGGTGATACCTTTTCATGTGTGCATCTGTGCATACATATCTGGCTCATGTCCAAGGATAAATTGACCATTCCTTGCCAAATGCAGGCTCCCGTGGTACACACTGTCTCCCCAATCCCCATCAAGGCTTCAGTGGGCTTTTTGCAGTGCCTACGGCAAGGTTTGAAGCCCTCTGAGCAGAGTCAGCCTGCCCCTCCCTCAGAGCTTGAGTCTTTCCCCTGTGCCTTCACCAGCATGACCTCCTTCCTTACCTGGCAGGAAGCCCCCAAGCTGTACCCTGCCATTCCCGCAGCCCGAAGGCGGCCCATTCGAGTCCTGTCATTGTTTGATGGCATTGCGACAGGTGAGTTTGGGATATACCTGGAGATGCTCTGCTGTCCTGTCACAAGGGGGTAGCCAGGGAGTCAGAAGGCATGGTTAGGGTGTCTGACATCAGTGGCAAGAAATATCCTTGGGGATCACCAGCTCTGAAAAAATCCCTGTCTCCTTGTTTCTCTCCACCTTCTCAGCCACCTTGCAGTCTTGGTCATTGAATTTTATTTCATTTATTTATTTTTTTGAGATAGAGTCTCCCTTTGTCACCCAGGTTGGAGTGCAATGACATGATCTGTGCTCACTGCAGCCTCCACCTCCCAGGTTCAAGTGATTCTCTTGCCTCAGCCGCCAGAGGAGCTGGGATTACAGGTGCCCGCCACCACGCCCAGCTAATTTTTATATTTTTAGTAGAGACGGGGTTTCTCCATGTTGGTCAGGTTGGTTTCGAATTCCTGACCTCAAGTGATCTGCCCACCTTGGCATCCCAAACTGCTGGGATTAGAGGCATGAGCCACCGTGCCCAGGCAGTCTTGGTCATTTTAAAAGGACATATATCTTAGCTGTTACACTTTATTTTTTATGTGCAGTTATCTTGAAATTGATTTTCATTCCACATGCATAAGTATAATTGGAGATAAATTAGGCAACAACTACTGCTATCTCTGGTTTTGGTTCCCTTCTTTTCTTGCTATACTGAGTTTGCACAGCCAATACGTGTGGTGCGTTTACAGCCTTTGCTGGATTGAACGCATGTGACGCAGTCATGAGGAATTGTTTGTTTTACCACAGCAGGGAGTGGAGGAAATGATGTGCTCAGCATCATTTATGCTTCTGTGTCTCCCTGGCCCCCACAGGCTACCTAGTCCTCAAAGAGCTGGGCATAAAGGTAGGAAAGTACGTCGCCTCTGAAGTGTGTGAAGAGTCCATCGCTGTTGGAACCGTGAAGCACGAGGGGAATATCAAATACGTGAACGACGTGAGGAACATCACAAAGAAAAATGTGAGGGCAGTCTGTACCTTGTGGGCCTTGTCGCTTTCTGTTTCCCCCAGTCCTCCACATCCTGAAACCTGCATGTAGGCCCCATCCCTGAGACCCTAGAAAAAATAATTGAAATCTTGTGGGAATCTTAAGCCTTAGGTTAGGGTCGGAAGTGGAGTTGGTGACCAAGCAAGATTCTATTTTTTTCTAGAGACAGTCTCACTCTGGAGTGCAGTGGCATGATCTCAGCTCACTGTAACCTCTGCCTCCTGGGTTTAAGCGATTCTCCTGCCTCAGCCTCCCAAAGTGCTGGGATTACAGGCACCTGCCACCATGCTGGGCTAATTTTTATATTTCTAGTAGAGATGGGGTTTCTCCATGTTGGCCAGGCTGGTCTCAAACTCCTGACTTCAGGTGATCCACCCCCCCACTTCAGCCTCCCTGGGATTACAGGTGTGAGCCACTTTGTCCAGCCCCAAGCAAGATTCTAGAAGTGGGACCAGCTCTCTTTCTCTCTGTCCACACCCTCATCCTGACTCTGTCTCTCTCAGATTGAAGAATGGGGCCCATTTGACTTGGTGATTGGCGGAAGCCCATGCAACGATCTCTCAAATGTGAATCCAGCCAGGAAAGGCCTGTATGGTGAGCATCCTTCTCTCTGGCAGTCCCTGGAGAGCCTATGTCACCTGACCCCTGACCACTGGCCCAGGTGGAGTGGCCTGAGAAGGAGCCCTTTGCTTCTGGCCAAGTTACTGGCAGCGTCAGGGGACTGTTGGTGCTGCCTACGCTCCATAGTAAATCCTCAGCCCACAAGGGAAATACCCTAGTAAATAGTGCCCTGCCGCTGCCTGTGTCCCTGCTGTCATTCAGGTGGACATAGACTGGTAGGCATCGGCCTTAACTGTCAGGAGGCCATTGGGAACCTGTTGGTCTCAGGGGATGCGGTAGGTTGGGCTGGAGGTTTCAAATGAACCCTGCACTGTCGTCTTTTCTGAGCACAGAGGGTACGGGCCGGCTCTTCTTTGAATTTTACCACCTGCTGAATTACTCACGCCCCAAGGAGGGTGATGACCGGCCGTTCTTCTGGATGTTTGAGAATGTTGTAGCCATGAAGGTTGGCGACAAGAGGGACATCTCGCGGTTCCTGGAGGTGAGGGAATCTGGGGACCTGATTGTCACACACAGCCTGGGCAGGGAAAGCGCTGCTGGCAGTGATGATTGGTGGGTGTTGCCAACGTTGGGAATGACTTTCCCGTCCTTGGTCTGGCTAGATCCAATAGTGAGGGATTCAGTGGGTTCTCTTAGTACATGGAAAATATTTTTTTTTGAGACGGGGTCTTGCTCTGTCACCCAGGCTGAAGTACAGTGGCATGATTACAGCTCACTGTAGCCTCAAACAGCTGGGCTCAGGCAATCCTCCTACCTTAGCCTCCCAAGTAGCTGGGACTACAGGAGCATACCACCATGCCCAGCAGTTTTTGTATTTTTGGTAGAGACGGGGTCTTGGTATGTTGCACACCCTAGTCTTGAACTCCAACCCTAGTCTTGGACTCAAGTGATCCGCCCACCTCCCAACGTGTTGGAATTAGAGATAGAGCTGTGAGCCACCATGCCCGGCCAGTACAAGGAAAATAATTGATCTCTAATCTCGGCTCAACTCTTTGAAGTCAGAAATGATGAAACCATCATCTGCTGTTAAGGACTCATGAGATTTGACTCAATTTTCTACTCATTTTTGATATGAAAACTGCTTTAGACCAGGCACGGTGGCTCATGTCTGCAGTCCTAGCATTTCAGGAGGCTGAAGTTGGAGGATCACTTGAGCCTGTGTATCATATTTTGTAATAATCTGGCGTGTCCCAGGGAATGCCATCTCAGAATCTACAGGTTTGACCTTATCTCTTTACCTACCATTAGCATAGTATGAGGGCGTTCACCATGTCCTCTATCCAGCCTCCTGATGGCAGTTGGTCTTTTGTTTATTTTGAAGGATCCGTGCCTCTTCCGTAGTCAGGGAATAGCCCTGTCACCTGCAAAGGTCTGGTTGACACTGGAACTCTAATAATGGGCTCCTAACAGCAACCTTCTTTGTCCCTGCAGTGTAATCCAGTGATGATTGATGCCATCAAAGTTTCTGCTGCTCACAGGGCCCGATACTTTTGGGGCAACCTACCTGGGATGAACAGGTAACAAAGGGCTCTTAGTGGGACAGGTAACAGCCAAGTTAAATATGTGATAACAAGCTCTGACGTTCAAGCCTTCCTAGAAAGATCTGGCTCTGCTGAGAAACAGTTAGGGTTTCAGACCACCTGTGGTCTTCCGGGTTGATCCCTGTTAAGATGTTCAGCAAGTACCTGGGAATCTCTTTAGGAGTTCCACTCTTACCTGTTGTAAGCTGCCGATGGACCCGACCTTCAAAGTCCCAGGTGGCTGGGCGCGGTGGCTCACGCCTGTAATCCCAGCACTTTGGGAGGCCGAGGCTGGAGGATCGCTTGAGCCCAGGAGTTCTAGACTAGCCTGGGCAACAAAGTGAGACCCCGTCTCTACAAAAAAATAAAGAAAAATAAAAGTCCCATGTGCTGTAGCCAGACTGTGTACCTCCTTCCTGCCAGGGATCTCTCAAGACTTGAGCTTGTTGATGCTCCTGCCCTTCACTTCTCCTCCCCATTGCTGTAGGGACAGCCGACTGGAAATGGAAGTAGATTGTTGTTAGCGGTGCCTTTCCTCCTGCCCCGGAGATGAAGCGATCTTGGCCAGGCTCGTGGTGACCAACCAGGTGGCAGAGCTGCTATGACAAACAAAAGCCCGAAGACTATGTCCCTCACATTCTCATTACCAGGAGCATTTCATATTTTGTTATATACTAAAAACAGCAGTCTTCTTCAGACACGCTGAAAGCCACAAAGCAGCTTTGCTGAGGATTAATTATCTCCTCTATATGTGGTTTCAAGGAGAAGAACTTACTAATTGAGATGTAAAATATGATGGTAATGTGACATCCCAGACTTGCAAATGAGTTGAGCTTAAAACATTCTCCTGTAGAAGGAGGCGTGGAAACATAATAACCTTCTGCCACTTAGTGAAGTGTGGACAGAGGTTAGGGTCCTGGGGTAGCTTGGAGGATTTTTGTTGACCACCTTGCCCGTGTACTTGGTTAGGCAGCCAATCTTAGGATACCATTTCTGTGTCTAGAATTAAATGGGTTAATGCCTTCAACATTTGAGCTCCCAGTAGGCTGGCACTGTTACACTGTTGCCATTTTCATGGTTAAATACATCATGTCTATCTCGGCTTTCATGATAATGACATGCTGAAGGGGGAGGGAGAGAAGACAATGATTTGGGGTTTATTGCTGGTGGATGGGCATTGGAAGGGAAGGCTTCTCATTCTAGTGAGGGCCCTAAGTGAAGGGATGGACCCATGCAGTTATTAGAGTACTGCAGGTGGAAGGAAGAGGGTCTGGGATGATGGGAAACATCCCCAGACCAGCTCAGAGCACCCTATGTGGGGTGGCTGGGAGAGAGGGGCCAAGTAACTTGGGCCTTAATGTGGTACCGCTGAAATCACTTTGACATGGGAAGTTCCAGATGAGATGAATTGTGTCTTAAGTACACGGTAGTTTCTGGGTGGATTGTAGACAACAGCAGGATGTAGTCGGGAATGGGGAGAGAGCGAGGTGACCAGACTGCTCAAAGAAGGAGAGATCACTGATGATGATGTTGTGCCCCAGGAGGTGCCATCCATAAAGAACACAGTGTGAGTGGTGGCCCCTGGAGTTTGCAGCACAGCAATCCTGTGACTTGGCAAGGAGGGGTCAGATTCAGCATATCTGGAGGGTAGGACATTTGCTGATGCGTTGGATGTGTAGGCTGTGAGGTGGAAGGATCAGTGAGGCCTGACGCAGATCTAACGCTGTGACTAAGCTCTGCAAGCTGATACGATGGGTGGCACACCAAGCATCATTTAGGGGACAGACCCAAGTCATGTGGCTTGTTTAGAGCTTAATCTTACAGTCAGCACAAGGTGGGGCTGTGCAGTGTCCTTTTCTTCTGGGCCCTCAGCTCCCTTGGGTCCATGGCGGAGGTAGGAGTGGGGATAGAGGTGGCATTTGAAGCCTGGCAGGTGAGGTCAAGGAAATCTATCAGTCTAGGGGAAATATGTGTTGTGATTTCCTTAGCCCCTCTTGTAGGCACGGTTCCCATTCTCATATCTGAGTTGTTTGGCCTTGACATTCCTAACACAGGTTACTATGGCCGTCCCTGCGTCCAGTCCTCTTGCCCCGGTTTCTGTTCTGGAGCTGCTCAGCTACTTTCAGTTCTGGCCCTCACCCTTCTTAGTCATCTGTTTGCCTCTCTCTGCATTTGCAAAATACTTTTCAAGGGTGAAAGTTAAAGGGGTGCTTAGTCTTTTTTTTTTTTAACCTTAAGAGATAGGGTCTGTCTCCCAGGCTGGATTGCAGTGTTGTCATCATGACTCACCGCAGCCTCCAACTCCTAGGCTTAAGCGATCCTCCTGCTTTGAACTCCCAAATTGCTGGGATTAAGGGTAGGGACCACTGCAGCCTGTTGCTATTCACTTTTAAAGCCTCCTGAGGCTGTATCCCCAGCAGTGAGCCACCAAACCGTGGGTGTGATGTGATAATTGCATCAGGTAGACCCACAAAAATCTATTCCAAGCTCCTCACTTTAAAATAGACAGGGAGCCCAAAGGGGTAGTGTGACTTGCTCAAGCTCACTCAGTGAGCGGTGGAGCTGGGACCTGAGGTTTCTCCTGCCCCACTCCCGTGCAGTGTTCCTGCTCAATGGGAACCTAACTTTGAAGTCCAGGCAGGGGAACATTACCTCCTGGATGCTGGGCTGTCCCCTTTGGGGTAGCCCATCCTTGGCTTTGGCACACAGGCTTGTGCTCATGCCAGGATCGTTTTCATCATTTATTTGTAGCAAGTTCACCGCTAGGGCACATCTCTGCAACATATGCCCTCACTCCCACCTTGTGCCTAGCAGAGGACCCTCTACAGCTAGTAAAAAGTAATGGGTTTTGGCTGTTCCCAGGCCCGTGATAGCATCAAAGAATGATAAACTCGAGCTGCAGGACTGCTTGGAATACAATAGGATAGCCAAGGTAAGACGAGCTGTGGCCCTCTGGAAAAATGCACTTGGTGACCTCCAAGTGGGGACTTGGGAGATGACCTTGGTGTCTGATTGGTTCCTACACCTCCCCCCACGTGACTTCCTGGTGTTGGGCTTCTTTCTCCCACACAATTGTTCTGTGCCATCCTCAAATACAGAGACCAGGAGACATTTGTGATAAGTAATCACTACGAGGAAAGGCAACTAATCTTTCTAATTTTAGTACTGGATACATAAAGACACAGAGAATTTCAGCTGGCCCTCAGGGAGAAAGGAATCATTAATCCTTTTGCCAAAAAATGAATTTGCTGTCAAGTCATAGAATATGAAGACCTCCATAAACCTAAATCTCAATGTTTGCATCAAGCTAAGATCCATTTTCTAAACTCCAGTTGAGCATTCTCTGTATCTGGGTGGTTTTTACTTTTTACTTAATCTTGCTTGATCAGGAACTCTGGTGTCTTCTTGGCCCCACCACGTGATCTCATTCATGGTCACTTTTTTGTTTATCTCATTTTCTCTGAGGCTGGTCCTTCCTGTTAACGTCTTGGCATTTGTGGGAAGCACAAAATGTTCTTGTCCCTCCAACTCTGCTTTCCGCTCCCAGCCCTGCCATTCCTTTCCCGCGCCTGCCCTCTCCCTTCCATCTTTCCCAGGTACTTTTTTCTCCCAGCCCTGCCACTCTTCTGCCGCGCCTGCGCTCTCCCCTCCATCTTTCCCAGGTACTTTTTTCTCCCAGCCCTGCCACTCTTCTGCCGCGCCTGCGCTCTCCCCTCCATCTTTCCCAGGTACTTTTTAGCCTTGACCCCACCCAGGTCCCTTCATTCTGTGCTCACTCCATGATGTCGTTTTGTTCTCCAGTTAAAGAAAGTACAGACAATAACCACCAAGTCGAACTCGATCAAACAGGGGAAAAACCAACTTTTCCCTGTTGTCATGAATGGCAAAGAAGATGTTTTGTGGTGCACTGAGCTCGAAAGGTGAGCAAGGCTGCACTTGGAGAGGGAAACTGTGCAGATCAAAACACAAATGGGCAGACATGGGCAGGTGCTTACCTTCATTCTTGATGGCCTCACTGCCCTTTGGTGTTACTGGGGCGAGGAGTAATAATACCTTTTCATAGTTCGCCCTTATTTCCTGACAAAAATGGCGGAGGGGGTGTGGTGGTGGTGAGGAATCTGAGACATGAGGTCATTAGGCCGCACCATCTGTCTGTTGGCTGCACTGCCCTGACATCTGCCTGTCCCAACACGCTGGGACACTACGATGTATGAGAAGCCAGTGAAAGAAAACTCCACAGACATGCCATTCTTGAAGACTTCAGTTTGCTCATTCTATAAATGATTCCTTCTTAGCCACAGTTTATCCTCTCCTTCCCTTTCTTTGGGCTAAGTTTGTCTGTTTTGATGCAAATAACCATCTCTTGGATTTCAGTTCTGTTTTTTCTTTCACTCCTCTGTTTGTTCATTTTGCTTCTCCTATTTTTTAAAAATCATTATTTGCTATAGTGATGTAATTAAGGTTTTGAACATTCCTCTTTACATGTGTTCTGTATTCTGAAGGCTTTGATACAGAGTGTTTTCATTCCAAATATTTCACTTCTACAACTCGTTTACTTTCTACTTTGACTTACCAACAGTTATATAACAGAGTATAAAAGTAACTTCTGATTAGTATTTATGCTGTAGATTTTTCTGTATGGACCCATACCTAAAATGGTTGGTGCAGATGGCTGACATTGTGTAGACGCTAAAGCCAAGCAAGACACAGGCCTGAGGTATCACATCTTTGGCATGTTTCTGAATAACCCACGCAACCATTGGCCTGTTGGGATGACTCGTAGTATTGGATTGTGTACCTGAGTAATACTGAGGTTCAGCCTCTGTGCCCTCTTTCCAGGCCCGGTAGAATCCTATAGAGGAAGCTTTTGGTATATTTGATGCCATCTGCCTGAAGTCGTCTAGCTCAGTCCTTCATCCAGCAGCTGGGTTTGAATAGGGAAGGAAAACTGTGGTTGCTGAGCTGTAAATTGCCTGAGCCTGTGATGACTGAAAATCTAGGCTGTTTTTCAGTGACCTTGTTCCTTATTAAGGAAGTTGCTTAACTTCTCCCATCATAGTGTTTTGAAGATGGAGACATTGCTGGCTGGCTAATTTGGTATGCATGCATTTATTCAAGGAAGGTCCTCTGAGCACCAACTCTATGCCAAGAGTATGGTGTTAGGCCTGCACAAAATGGGGGACTTTGATTTGTGAGCAATTTGTGAGCAAGTGTTCTGAATTAAGGGCTCTGAATTTAGGTCCTGGGGACCTTACTGATGGGACTGAGGGATGGCGAGGGCAGAAGGAGTGGGACCTGGCTGGTTGAGGCTGTCAGCATCCTGGAGGCACTTCTGACTCGCTGTCTTTTTACTCCGGTACCCCCAGGATCTTTGGCTTCCCTGTGCACTACACAGACGTGTCCAACATGGGCCGCGGTGCCCGCCAGAAGCTGCTGGGAAGGTCCTGGAGCGTGCCTGTCATCCGACACCTCTTCGCCCCTCTGAAGGACTACTTTGCATGTGAATAGTTCCAGCCAGGCCCCAAGCCCACTGGGGTGTGTGGCAGAGCCAGGACCCAGGAGGTGTGATTCCTGAAGGCATCCCCAGGCCCTGCTCTTCCTTAGCTGTGTGGGGCATACCGTGTACCTCAGTTCCCTCCTGCTCAGTGGGGGCAGAGCCACCTGACTCTCTTGCAGGGGGGAGGCCGAGGTGCCGCCTCCTTGTGCACAATTCAGACCTGGCTGCTTGGAGCAGCCTAACATGGTGCTCATTTTTTCTTCTCCTAAAACTTTAAAACTTGAAGTAGGTAGCAACGTGGCTTTTTTTTTTTCCTTCCTGGGTCTACCACTCAGAGAAACAATGGCTATGATACCAAAACCACAGTGCCGACAGCTCTCCAATACTCAGGTTAATGCTGAAAAATCATCCAAGACAGTTATTGCAAGAGTTTAATTTTTGAAAACTGGCTGCTGCTCTGTGTTTACAGACGTGTGCAGTTGTAGGCATGTAGCTACGGGACATTTTTAAGGGCCCAGGATCGTTTTTTCCCAGGGCAAGCAAAAGAGAAAATGTTGTATATGTCTTTTCCCCGGCACATTCCCCTTGCCTAAATACAAGGGCTGGAGTCTGCACGGGACCTATTAGAGTATTTTTCACAACGATGATGATTTCAGCAGGGATGACATCATCATCACATTCAGGGCTATCTTTTCCCCCCACAAACCCAAGGGCAGGGGCCACTCTTAGCTCAATCCCTCCCAGTGACTGCAATAGAACCCTCTGGGGAGCTCAGGAAGGGGTGTGCTGAGTTCTATAACATAAGCTGCCATATATTTTGTAGACAAGTATGGCTCCTCCGTGTCTCCCTCTTCCTTAGGAGAGGAGTGTGAAGGAAGGAGCTCAGATAAGACACCCCCTCAAACCCATTCCCTCTCCAAGAGACCTAACCCCCACAGGCACAGGTCCCCAGATGAGAAGTCTGCTACCCTCATTTCTCGTCTTTTTACTAAACTCAGAAGCAGTGACAGCAGTCAGGGACAGATGTACATTTCTCACACCTTCCCCTCATCTTAAGAGATGACAGAGAAAACTGCAGTCCAAGCTCGGTGCTCCCTCTGGAGATTTTTAAATCCTTTTTTATTCCATGATAAGTCATTTTTAGGGAGAATGGGAGTTCAGACAAGCTGCATTTCAGAAATGCTGTCGTAATGGTTTTTAACACCTCTTACTCTTCTTACTGGTGCTATTTTGTAGAATAAGGAACAACGTTGACAAGGTTTGTGGGGCTTTTTATACACTTTTTTTAAAATCTCAAACTTCTATTTTTATGTTTAACGTTTTCATTAAAACTTTTTTTGTAACTGGAGCCACGACGTAACAAATATGGGGAAAAAAACTGTGCCTTGTTTCAACAGTTTTTGCTAATTTTTAGGCTGAAAGATGACGGATGCCTAGAGTTTACCTTATGTTTAATTAAAATCAGTATTTGTCTATAACTGTCTGATGTCCCTTTTCTTCTGCAGGTCGGATGGATGGGACATGGGGGAGGGCCTGGCTAACATGTAAGGGTGAGAGTTTGGAAGTAGGTGATTCATTCATTCATTTATTCAAACGCAATGTGACCGCAAGCTGACTGGAGCGAGCTTACAGTGTGGTGCACTGGTTCTGCAGCATTGGCTCACCTGTAATCCTAGCCAGGGTGGGCAGATCTTTTGAGCCCAGGAGTTCAAGACCAGCCTTGGCAACATGGCAAAACCCCATCTGTACAAAAAAACCCCAAGAATACAGGCCAGGCGCGGTGGCTCATGCCTGTAATCTCAGCACTTTGGGAGGCCTAGGCAGGCAGATCACAAGGTCAGGAGATCGAGACCATTCTGGCTAACCCTGGAAACCCTATCTCTACTAAAAATACACAAAATTAGCCAGGCGTGGTGGCAGGCATCTGTAGTCCCAGCTACGCTCTGAACCCAGGAGGCGGAGCTTGCAGTGAGCTGAGATAGTGCCACTGCACTTCAGCCTGGGCAACAGAGCAAGACTCCGTCTCCAGAAAAAAAAAAAAGAATCCAGCACATCTGCGTCCCCTGGAGGGCTTGTCAGGGCTGTGATTGCTGGCCCAACCTCCAGAGTTTCTGACTCTATGAGTGGACCATAGGAATTTTCAGTCGCGCAGTGGCACAATTACTGCTTATTGCAGCCTGGACTCCCCAGGCTCAAGTGATCCTCCTCTGTCAGCCTCCAAGTAGCTGGGACCACAGGCGAGCATCACCACACCCAGCCTGACCCTAGGAATTTGATGCTGCTATCAAGGGACCACACCAGACTAGTGAACGGGCATCTAAGTCACGGTTCCCAAATGTGGCTTGAGTGTCTGAATTCGTTTAAAAGCTCCATGTGTGGGACACCTGTTTCCAGACGTGTGCAGTTGTAGGCATGTAGCTACAGGACATTTTTAAGGGCCCAGGATCGTTTTTTCCCAGGGCAAGCGGAAGAGAAAATGTTGTATATGTCTTTTCCCTGGCACATTCCCCTTGCCTAAATACAAGGGCTGGAGTCTGCCCCAGATCTTGGGGAACTGATCAAGGTGATTATTACCTCTAGCAAAAGATCCTAATGATTCTCACAGTTCATATGCTTCTGTGGGATTCTATACCTTATTCCACAGCTCCCAAGTTGCCGTGCTGCAGGTCAACAGCCTTCCGTAAGGGGGCTAACTGGGAGTAGCCCTGTGGTCCCAGTCTAGCCCGTGTCCTCTGCCTTTTGGGTGGAGTGATTCTCAGCGTGCCCCCAACTAAAATCCTGCCCTTCAATGAGCACTCACGATGTCAGTTGCCCTTCTAAGCCTAATATTGTGACTCCAGTAATCCCATTTTACTGGGATTTACTTCCCTAGGCAGGAGTCCCAAGCCCAGAGCTCATCCAGAGCTCATCGGGCCACACTCATCTCCAGCCTTTGGTCAGGGAAAAGGATTAATACTAGTTAATTATCGTATTAGAGACAGAATAGCATGATGCACCTGGGGTTCATCCACTGAACATGTCAGACCTAGCACCTCTGAGCCTCCCAGGCCACGTGTGAGTTGGGCTATAATCACGACCATCTCTTAAATAAGGTCAGGTTTCTAAAGGGCCTGGCCCAGCGTTTGGGGATGGAAGAAGCTTCCAGAGTGGAAGGATGAACATGTTATTAGAAAGGAGCTTCAGGACTACAACAGCCCACATGCAGGTTGCCATGGTGAGATGGCAATTAGCAAGCTAGGCCCACACAACCTCCCCTGCCTCCCCAGGTGTTGAGACCCCAGAGACCTGGGCCACCCAATTAAGCCATCTTGTGTACAGTGCTGCACCAAATACCAGGACAAGATGAAGCCAGATAAACAGCCCCGGCCTCGAAACCCCAAGAAAGATGGGCGAGCCCTCCAGGTGAGGAGTCCTTGGCATCCTGGCCTGCTTGTCAAGGTGGGGGAGGGGCTCAGAGGGAGTGTGGGGGTAATTCTTGTGTTTTCCCAAGATGGGGTTAGGCTGGTGATCCCAGGTTCCGAGGCAAGGGGAGAAGGCGGTGAATGTTCTGATCTGGGGAAAGAGGTTGGAGTTTGAATCCCACGTAGGCCTTTGCTGAAGCAGTCTTTGGGTTTGCCTGGATTTGTGTCTGGGGTCTGGCATGTCACCGTGTCACTTGGAGCAAGCAGATGACTTAACCTCTTGGGGTTTTTCATCTCTCACCTAAAAGGTGGAGATACCAGCCTGGTCAACATGGTGAAACCCGATCTCTACCAAAAAATACAAAAATTAGCTGGGCGTGGTGGCATGCACTTGTAGTCCCAGCTACTCCGTGTGGCTGAGGTGGGAGAATCTCTTGAACCCGGGAAATGGAGGTTGTTGCTGTGAGCTGAGATCGCACCACTGCACGCCAGCTTGGGCAACAGAGGCCCTATCTCAACAACAACAAATAAAGTGGAAATAATAAATCCTACCTGCTTCATAGGGTGACCGAAGTTCAAAGGCCAGATCTAGGTAAAATGCTTTGCCTGACACCTGGCAGGCAATAAACTCTCCACATATATGAGATGACATTATTGTAAAATGGGACCCATTAATTAATGCAGTGCTAATGACAATGAAGACTGGATGCAGGTAGTGATAGTAACATGCAATGCTTATCAGTAGTAATAGCCTTAGGCCAGGCACTGCGGCTCACACCTTGCAATCCCAGCACTTTGGGAGGCTGAAGTAAGCAGAGTTCAGGATTTGAGACCAGCCTGGGCAGCATGGACAGAGTTTCACACCCCCTTTCTACAAAAAAATTGAAAAATTAGCCAGGTATGGTGGTGCGCCCCTGTAGTCCAGCTACTCGGGAGGCTGAGGTGGGAGGACCACTTGACCTCAGGAGGTGGAGGTTGCAGTGAGCGGAGATTGTGTCTCTGCATTCCTGTCTGGGCAACAGTGAGACCCTGCCTCAAACAATAATAATAGTCATACTTTTTTAAAAGGTAGAGTAATATTTCCCCAGATGTTGTCAGCAGCTAGGCTGACGGGTGTCAACTGTAGCAACAGTGGCATCGGGTGTGGAACTTGTGCCCCTCACCGCCCCCCACATCCTGTTGGGATCCCAATGCTCCTTGCTAGGGTTCCCATCCTGTCTCCACTTCCCTGCTATTTTGTGACCTTGGGTGTGTTCCAGAGTCTCCTTGGGGCTTGTTTACCCAACTATAAAATGGATAATATCAACCTCACAGAACTGATGTGTGGATCAAACAATTCAGTACATGTGAGGCACATGGGAAGGGGACTGAGTAAATGCTGAGTAAATGACTGACAAATGACCCAAAAATGCTTTTTTATTACTGTTAGAGAATTCTGGCAACTCTGTGAGGCCTGATTACCATGATTGTAAGAGAACTGACTCCAAAGAGGTCTCATCACATACCCAAGGTCACCCAGCTAGTAGCAAAAGGAGTTGTGCATTGGAATCTGCTCTGGGAAGCCAGTCTACTTTTTCTCTTTGGTCCCACAGGCATCTTTGTTCTTGTTTGTTGTTTTGCTGGAGCTTGAAATTACCTGCTGCCCTTTGTAGCGTTTTGCCTTCCTTCCTAGCTTCCTTCCCTTCCTTTTATCCTGCCTACTTCCCCCCTTT